AGCCTAGAGAGGTGGGGGAAAGCTAACGACATACCCTGTTCGTGCCCGGCGGGGTGATGAATCGCGTTCGGATGAGAGCCTTTATAAAGCCATAGAATAGTGTAGGTATAAATCCCTGTAGGCATGCAACCATGCGGGCGTGGGCGTCAAGAACCATATCTTGTTGGCGATATTGACGTTATCACCGCCAGATGCCGTTCACTTTACCTTAAAAGATTTTCTATAGAGGGTACATAACATGAAGTGGACATTCGAAGATCGGGGTTCACCGTGACAATCTATAGGAATTTCATACACGGTAAGCACGGATCCAATAACGAAGTGATCGATGTTGCCGAATAAAAATACTTCCGAAATATTGATATCGCGTGCTCACCATGGAACGTGCTTCCCCTTCGACCGACGTTCAACCTCGCCTACGGAAATTCGTTTATGGCCGATTAAAATAACTTGGTCGTGTGCACATAACAATGCGTACCTACACGTTCGTGGAACTCCTTAAAAGGCGTAAAAAATTTGCTTGATTTTTGCACTCGTTCTTCGTCGTCTACACCTGCCGAAATGCGCTCATTCTCTTTGCTTGCTCTTCTCTGCGTCCCCTCGGTGTTTTCGCTCGTCGTCGAGCCAAAACTGCCTGCTCATGCACCGGCACCCAGCTTCCATGGCGAACCTAAGCCATACGCATTGGAAAATGGTAAAGCCACCAAGGTTGTCCTCACCAACGATGATGGCTGGGCTATTGCCAACATCAGAGCCGAGTACGCTGCCTTGAAGGCTGCTGGTTACAAGGTAAATTCCCCCTCTTCACGCTTCACCTGCATTCTAACTTTCTCAATCCATATGATTTAGGTTGTCTTGTCTGCTCCAGCTGAAAATCAATCTGGAACTGCCTCGTCCTCTGCTACACCAACCACGTTGACTATTCCATGCGAGTTCGACTCATGCCCAGTTGGATCCCCGGCCATTGGACACAATGCCTCTGATCGTGAGTACTACCTATTTGGCGATTTGAGAAGATGAATTCAAACGTTATCTAGCTTTCCTTAACTACGTCAACTCGTTCCCGTACGTTTCGCGATTATTCACTCAATCACTCTTTGACTTATTCAATTTCACCTTTTTAGTGTTGACTCTGTTCGTTATGGCATCCAGACTGCCGCCCCCAAACTCCTTGGTTCCAAGCCTGACCTTGTTTTCTCTGGCATCAACATCGGAAGTCAGTACCTCTCTCCCTTTATCAACTCTTGCCGTCCTTACGATCTCATTTTCCAGACAATTTCGGCATCTATGTTGATTACTCTGGCACTGTGTACGTATTCATGGCAATAAGGAGGAATAGTTTTACTGACGTATGACTATAGTGGCGCTGCGACAGAGGCAGCCCTTGAAGGCATCCCTTCTGTTGCTTTCTCCGGTTGGAGTGGAGCACAAGTTTCCTACACCACCCTGTCGGATACCAAGGCCAACACCACCGAAGCTGCCAACATCTACACCAAGCTCAGCTTGAAATTCCTCAAGCAGCTCCTCTCGAACGACGGCCCCATTCTCCCCAAGAACATCAGCTTGAACGTCAACTACGGCCCCATCGACAACTGCACGTCCCCCGATGCTTACAAGTTCATCTTCACTCGCATCTTCACCGCTGACAACACTACTGTCGATTACCGCACTTGTGGCTCCACCCAGCTCCCTGACGAGACCTCCGTCATTATGATGTCTGGCTGCCATGCTACTGTCAGCGTGTTCAGCGCAACCAACAAATCGGATGTATCCGCCGCCACTCAAGGTTGGGTCCACAACAAGTTGAACCCTCTCTTCACTTGTCTCTAGACAATTGACATCTATAAAATACCCATCTATCTATTCTTCAAAAGTAGCGCACAAATTATTACATCGCATTGTATGTATAAGATACCTTCTATTCCATTCGTTCGAAATCAGAATAAAAAATGACATACATATGGAACTGGAGAAATATCTGTCCGTTATGACTGATCTTCCGGTCGAATGACGTTATGCTGAAATAAATAGATTCTGTACCTTTACAATCCATCAGAGTCCATAAAACGTGGGTTGAAGACCATGTGGAACCTCAACAATGCCCTTATGCACGCTCGATGAATTCCGAACCCAGTGAATTGCTCTGCCGATTGGCGGATGGGATGAACAAGAAGACTACAAAACGCACTAAACTAGGATTCTACCTCAAGTGTGGGGGGTATGATAAGGGAAGGCAGGATGGAACCCTAAGATAACCCTAAAGGAATGATAAAGTAATAGGCAATCAAGCCCCTTTGCGAAAGGTGATAATGATAAAAGAAAAAAGCTCGTCATGCAAAAAACGGTAGTGGGATTACTTGGAAGTCAACTCAGAAGTTCCTACGACGATACTTGAGGCTGCGTGCCTTCTTTGGCGAGGCCTCCTTAGCAGTCGCAGATGCAGAGGCTGCAGAGCTGGAAGAGGTGGCAGTGGCAGTGGAGGTGGCGGCAGCGTCAGTAGAGGAGGCGGCGGCGGAGCTGTTCTTGTCGCTCTTGTTCTTCTTGCCATTCTTGCTCGAAGAACCAGCAGTGGCAGTGGCAGTGGCAGCAACGCTCGTCGCGGAAGCAGATGCAGAAGCAGAGTCGGTAGCAGATGCGGAAGCGGTTTCAGACGCGACGGCAGAGGTAGTTCCAGTGACAGACGCGGAGGTACCGGTGGAAGCGGCTACGGAGGCTGAATCGGAAGCGGTCGCGCTAACGCTATCAGTTGCAGATGCAGTCGCTGAGACAGCGTCTGAAGTGGCAGCAGCAGAGGCAGCTCCGCCAACAGGGTTGCCATCATCCGTAACAGTGAACTAGCGAAGAGGTATGATTAGTAAAGATAAAAAAGAAAAGGAATTAGGGGGAACACACGTAGATAGCATCATCAAGAGAACCGTGCTGGGCGACGGGGACGATAACTGGAGCATGATTGGCAGAAGTGTTGATGGACGCCAACCTGTAGACACCAGCAGGAAGACCAGCAGTAACATCGGCAGTGAGCTGGCCATTCGCAGCAGCGGCGTTCAAACCCTTGAAGAAGGCAAACTTCTGAGGATCCGTAGGGGACGTTTGATCGAGGGAAGCAATCTGCTCAACCACAACGTGGGAGTGACCTTGAATCTGGCCTTGAGCATTAAGCTGCTGAGGAGCGGCGAAGTAATTCTCCTGAGCGTTAACGAAGAATCCAGTCTCCATGTTTTGAATGTTCATCGTGATCGTGAAAGCAGTGTTGGCCTTGATCGTGCCGAAGTTGGTGGGGAATGAGAACTTGGCGGATGGCATGTTGTCCGTGGAGGGAATCACACCGATAGGAGCAGGGTTGCAGGAGCCAGTGGTGATTTGCTTGCCATTGGTGATAGGGAGATCAGGCACGGTAAGACAGAAGTTGATGAAGTTGTTCGTGGAGGTCAAGGAGGGAACTTGGCCTGCTGCGGGAACGTCTTGGCCGTCGTCGGCGAAGCCGGTGGCAATCACACGAGGATCAAGTGCTGGGATGTCGTCAGTTAAAGGGGCTGCTGATTCAAAAAAAAAAAGTATATTCACTCGAAGAAGAGCTGGTGTGGCCACTTGATGAACTGCTAGAAGAATTGTTGGACGATGAACTGCTGGACGAGTTGTTGGACGAGGAACCGCTGGACAAGTTGCTGGACGAGGAACTGCCACTTGACGATGAACCACTGTTCGACGAGCTGTTGCTATTCGAGTTGGAGTTGCTGCTGGACGTGGAAGTCGCACTGCTAGCAGTTACAGTAACAGTATGATGAACGGTCTGAACCTGGTTGATGTGACAATATATGATTAATTACCGGAACCTCAATCAGTAAATCTCACACTCACCGAAACTGAACAAGCTTGCTCGTTGTTGAAGTTGTTGTAATAATTGGAGGGTGCAGCCTGAGCAGTGAAAGCCGAGATAGCAAGAGTAAGGAAAGCCACGAAGAAAGACCGAGATTGCATTGTGTTAAAGAAAGGAGATTTTTTCAGATGTCAAACAAAAGAATGTGTAAATTGGCTTTGAGACTGAGCACTTTCAAAGTCTGAAGAAGCAGAAAACGACACCAGTGTCGGGCGTTCGTAGTCTTTGGAGCGCGCTAGGCGACAGCCACAAGGCAGAGCAGGGACGAAAGAAGGGAGAAGGGGAAAGAAAGGGAAATGTGGCCGTCAATCAGGACATGTACCTTTTATACCACCAGATCATTTTGTTGTCCACCGTTAATGATCATCCACATCGTCTTCCCTCGCAACCAGCAACGGCAGACTCGGCAACACCATTTCCATACCTCTTTCTTTGGAAAATCTTTGTCCTATCTTGAATGGGATTCATCTCGGTGACTTACACGAAACAAAGGCTCGTTTGCCTTCCATTCATTCTAGTAAAAAACCTGCAGTAATTACAACCAGTCTAAAATTATCTTCATGTCTAACTATAGGACTTACGGATCTATCAGGACTTCATAATGCATGCGCATAGTATATACCATCTGCCCACTTCTTTCGACAACATGTCACATTGGATGTATCCAAACATCTGACACAATGACGCTCCACTTTGGCCTTTCGTACATACAAAGCTTTCTACATGCCTCAACTCAAAGTCCAAAGTCTGATATTTATAAAGAAAGGTACATCTCGGAGGCAATCATTTATAATACCATGGCAACTCTTCAATTGATCCGTAGGCTCTGGCAAAGATCTCCGCCTTGAGAACGATTTCGAGGCCTGCAGCGACATATGCACTTGGTTACGACATGAGGTTGATGTTGGTGGATACAATACTGATACAATCTCTCATATATCATATGGCAACGCCTGCTCTCGAGTCTGTTATTCCTAATCGAAGTCTCCGAGGCAACATGGCGGCAGTTGGGCGGCAGCTCTCGGCGTAAGAACCTGAAATGGGATCCGTTTCCTTTGTTGAATGATATTCGAATTTCAAAATTGTAAGATTAGTCGTACTCTGTTGTTGTTGTTGAAAAAGACGACAGGCGCGGGACTCGAACCCGCAATCTTCAGCTGGACATGAACCGGAAACTGACGCGATGCCATTTCGCCAGCCCGCCATTGGACTGATCGCGACTCTTGGAAAACATTATAATGAAGTTGAGGGAAAACCTTGTGGCGCAATTGTTTCCAAGTTTGACTTCATGACGAGCAAACAGAAAAGATAGGTACGGTCCACGAACTGGAAGAAAATGCTCAAAACCTTACGCCTCAGAACCCAAGGAACGGGTCCTAGGCTTTAGCTTCATTGTCGAAGCACAAGTGGCTGACAGTTTACGTCTAAACATATCCGAGGGTATTTAAAGGTTCTTTAACTTCAAGTTCTGGTTGCCCGCCTCTTCTACTCCAACTTCATCTTCATTCAACCCACTCTATAGAAAGATCATGAAGCATAGCTCACTCATTGTCTCCCTCGTCCTAAGCTTCGTTCCCCTCGCTCTTGGGACTCAATATCTCGTCGAGGTTGGAAAGGATGAGACGACAGGGTGAGTGTGGATATTACTAAGCGATTGACTTACTTACCTTATCCAACGAAATAGTCAAAAAGGCAAGGGATTTGACCCATCCGTGATATACCCTGTGACGGGCGACACGATTGTGTGGCGGTTCCAAAGTGGGAACCATAGCGTTGTTCGTGAGTACATCTTGAGCGCACATGTAGCTTTCTTTATTCAGGCACTATTACGCAGAGTCATCGTTCGATAATCCATGTGTGTCCAGTGGAGGTGTAGGTTCTGGCGCCAAAACGGTAGGATCCAACTCATTGTCAGCCCCATCAGAGCCGTTGGTTAGATATCGATAGGTACCCAATACGACAAGACTCGATGCTCCCGGTTTGCCCACATATACGTACACCGTGACGAGCAACACGTCGATGTGGTTCTTTGACGACGCTGGAGGACTATGCCACAAGGGCGCTATATTCGCAGTCAATCCCACCAGCAGCCAAACCGCGCCTGCTTTTGTTGAAAACGCAAAACAACCTTCCCGTCCTGCTTCTTCGACGACATCGGTTCCGACAGCTAGCAACTCTGCGAGCCAGTCTGCTGAAACTGCGGTGACCACCAGTCCAAGTACACACAAGGCTAGTTCACATGCAGTGCACGACCAACCAAACGGCCTGGCGGTAGTCCTGTTTGCAATCCTGTTATTTATTATATATGGTCTGGAACAGGTCTAGAATGAGTTGCTTTCTGTGTGCCCAATACCAATACATACCTGCAATTTCCCTTGTCAATATGTAGAACGAGTCTAATTGGCATCATTATCAAAATTGCAATCAAGATCTTCTTTATCAGTTGCCACCACGTGGATCACATCTCCATACAATAACGAAAGACCCTTAGAACATACTTTATACGTTCACGACGTCCGCGACGATGAGCAGCGCTTCAAGAAGCTTGAGCGACGTTCCCGAAGAGACCGCGCTGACACCCACAGCAACAACCTCTAGATCAGATCTTTTGTCCACCACCACCCGAGTTTCAGTTACGAATGATGAGGTCGGGACTTCTTCGTCTTCTTCTGCATCTTCGACTGTGGCCGCACCTTCTTCTCGGCAGAACATTGCGAAGACGCGTACACCAAGCATCAGGACCCTTGGTCGATCGTCAAGTGAGAGTGGTGGCAGTAGTTCGAAGAAGTCAACAACTCCATCTTTGACACCTACATCCGCGTCGACCTCGTCGACTACTTCTTCGAAAGCCAGGAAGTCTGCGCCTGCAGCGTCTACTGTGAAGATGAAAACGATCCCAACGTTACCACACGACAAGAATGTACCACCTGCGCCAAGTACTGCGATGTATTGGAGTCGTGCGCCAGTCTATGGCGCTATTCCTCAACGGACAATGCGCGCACATACTATGACTTTGGTTGACAATATTGCTTGGCTGATTGGTGGCATTGAGGACAAGGATTCAGGCAAGGATATGAAAGACATGCATTGTTTTGACACAGGTATAATTACTCGTTAACTCGTGGAATGCTACAAGCTCACTCAATTTAGAAATCATGCAATGGACGGTTCGAGAATCAACAGGAACTATACCCCCACCATTTCGTGCACATACCACGACTCTCATCGATCGGAAGCTCGTTGTAATCGGTGGAGGCTTTGGCGTTAAATACTTCAATGACGTTTACGTTTTCGACACTGTAACGAGACATTGGTCGATCCCTGCTATTACAGGACCTTGTCCGACGCCACGCCGTGCTCATACTGCGGTCTTGTATCAGCAGAAGATCTGGATATTCGGAGGAGGAACAGGTTTACACGCGCTTAATGATCTATGGACCCTGGACGTGTCGTCACTTAGCAAGATGAAGTGGGAGCAAGTGCAGACTTCTGGCAGGACACCCAAGAACAGGGGATATCATACTGCGAATTTGGTGGGGAACTTGATGGTGGTGTTAGGTGGGAGCGATGGAAAGGATTACTTCACCGATGTTACCTGTCTCGATCTTGGTACATTCTGCTGGTGCTGCTTGGAGCCATAAGGCAAGCTGACGTCTTTTTAGATACGCTTCAATGGACCCAAGTTACCCTTCTGACACCCACGTATAAGAGGATAGCACATAGCGCGACACAGGTGGGATCGTTCCTTCTCATAATAGGTGGCTTCGACGGCACAGACTACTGCCCTGATGTCCTGCCTTTTGATCTGGGTGCGTTTTTCTTGCTCCTGATAGCGTGGATCGACTGACGTGTTCATTGTCAGTGTCTCTCACCTTCGAGCCGCGCGTCACCTACTGCCCTCCCCCTGGACGTGGATATCATGCAACCATTCTCGCGGATAGCAGGATATTTCTTTTTGGCGGCTTTGACGGAACTACTCACTTTGAGGATGTGTATATTTTGGATCTTGCAGCAGGTGCATACCTACCGCAGGTGACGAGCTTTTCTATAGAATTGTAGATACATCGATGTGATATTGACGGAACCTATTCACATATGATTTGTTGCACCACTTGTAGCCAGCAGCCCCTGTTATAAATCAGCATCCCCCGACATCCGCAGACATCACCAATGCCATGTCGATCGATGCATACTCACCGCCTCCGCAAATCCCTTGGATGCACATGACTTTGTATAATTACATGTAGCAACGCTACATGAGACATCCGGAGTCATCATCGCTCACGACATGCAAGGTGTCGCCTCTCCACCTTGGGTGCAAGGAATATTCCAGGAACTCGAGGCAATCAAGTCTCTGGCATATGAAACCAAGGCCATGGTCCGGAACGTTTCGCGTGCACTCCATAACAAGCAAGAAAAATTATCGAACTACGTCCCCCTATGCAAATGGGTATGTCGTTGGCCCCTCCAGTCACTATTATTTCAATTACTTACTTAATTTTTAGCTCCCTGGGTCGGGACGCGAAATCGCGCTTGGTATCTTTACTGCGGCTGAGGTCAACGACGCCGAAAACCTTTTGACGGACGCAGGGCATCAAAATCCCGTTGTCGGTGATATACCGCGCACCCCCTCATCACCATCAGACGTTACACGAGTAGAGCTTGCGGCGCTTGTGATCTTTTATAATCACAATATGGGCTTGGTGGTGGGGGAAAACCAGTTGGCACGGAAAGAAAAGCTACACACCTTTATGACAGACAGTAGTACCTTTAAATAACGAGTGAGGTACATCTATCATGGTTTGATTGCTTGTCTTTCCATAACTTGTAGCTGGTGCAAATGTTAATATGTTATCGCGCAGGCTTGTGAGTTGATGACAAAAGTGACCAAGAAATTTAGGTTTCGACCAACTTCACAGATTTAGTACATGCGTTTATCAAGGGCGTTCAAGTATATTCTATACCACAAAGCCTTTTTCCAACATTTAAACATTATAATATTCGAAAGCAGGGGTACCAGGTTCTGAGGTATCAATGATGCTCTTTGTGAACCCTGGTTCACCCTCCTTCTGTCTTGCCTCTTCTACAGACAACACTTCAACGTCCACAAGGCCTAGAGTTTTTCTGAGGTAAGGGAGGATCTCCCGCAGCACTTGGCTCTCAGAGAACGGCAGGGCACGTCGGAATGCAGTTCGAGCCCCAAATTGAGTCATGCGTTTCTAAATGAAATTCAGTCAATCATCAGTTGTGATGAAAGGACATATATGCAGACCTTGAACGCCTGGACGAAGGGCATAGCGCGTTTGTCCTTGATGAGACCACGCTCGATAAGCAACTCTTTCACCTTTGCATCGTCCACCTTGTCAGTATCCGCGCCGTAAGCATCCTGCACAATCTGAACACAGATGTCCTGCCATTCAGGGAAGGCAGTCGCCACATAAATCCGCACGCTCTTAGGTTTTTTAGGGTCAAACGCGGCTGCAGGTCCTCCAGGACCTTTTTTGCCCTTGGCTTTTTGGAGCATCTTGAGCAACGCAACCTCAGCGTCACGGATGGTCTTGATAGTGTCGCGCATGTAAACCGCAGCTTCGAGGGCGGAACGATCCACAGGTTTCGCCGGTGTGGGCCAGCGAGCACTTTGGATGGATGTTGGTGACTTGAGAATCGAAGAGTGGATATGTTCGGCGAAATGAGGGGCGATGGGGGCGATGACGAGGGCGGCGGTGCGGATCCAGTAGTGCACAAGGTCGCGATGCATACCGACGTCTGAGGTCACTTCACGGTACCAGTCACGGGCACTTTGGAATTCGTAGAAGCCAAACTTGACAACGTCCTTGTAGTTCAGTCTGTTATTGTCGTCAATCAGCTTGAGTTTGGCATGTAATGACAGATGACCTACGCCTCGTAGTGGCTCTGCGTCACATTGATAAGCTCATTAATCTCGTTCTCAAAGATATCGTCATGGTAATTGCGAGGTCCGCTACGGAGGTTAGACTCGTCTTTGAGAACATCCTATAGAAAATTTGTCTGCTCCCAGTGTAGAAAGAATTTGAATCAAGTCATACCTCACACCAGCCCAACAAGGTATGCACACGCAAGATATTCGCGTTTGCAGTCTTTTCTTCAAAGTTGGCGTCCTCTTGGCCATCACCAGCATCAGCCAACGACAACCGAGTCGCATCCGCACCGAACTTGCGAATACCA